GCTGGAGCCATGAATGTGCTGAGGCAGTTGGTCCATCTGTCAAAGCAAATATTTTGTAAAAATCCTAAGTACTTTCAAAAGCAAAATGATCTTTTAAACAAACAATTCTGAATGCAAACATTCAGAATAAGATATTTCAAAATAACAAAAAAATCTTATGCATACTAAAACTAATATATGTTCTAAATAAAACACCATTCAAATACTCAAGACTTCCTGATTTCAGGACAGTACATTTTATATGGGAATTGTATCTACAACCATATATCATGGTGAAGCAAGGTTTTGTATACTAGAAGGCCCCCATAATTCCTAAAGTCTGAAGATGCATCTACATTGAGCTAACTGAACTGTTCAAAAACTGAGAGCTATTTTCCTCCATTTTTCACTGTCAGTGGGAGGTTTGGAGTGGAAGGCACATAATTCCTGGCACATTTCTTTCAGCTACACCCCCCAAAATGAGCCACATTCCTAATTCCCCTTATACTCCTCTGTGTCTCTGAGACACCAGTTCCTAAACTTTTATGAGTATTTATCCGTGAAAGATCCAAGTGTGAGATGGGGAGATGGAAAAGATTCTTTAAAAATCAAAATGATGGCATCAGGCAAAAGAGTCTGAGAACCACTGTCCTGAGCCAAGTATGTAAGCTCCTCCTGGCATTGTTTCCACCTATTCTAGTGCTTGAGTAAACATGCATAAAGTATAAAAGGAAAATTCTCAAAAAGTGTCACACATAAATGTACATTCCCACAAACACCATTATTCAATAACTTTTAATCCTTTTAAAAATAAAATGATACCTCGTAATATATGGCATCCACATCAACCGTACAATAAACCCATATACATGTCACAAGCAAGAATCGGCAGCAAACAAATATCAAAATATATACATATGTAACAAGAGTCATATACTCACTTAAATGTATAGAAGTGTGAAAACAAGATAATAGAGAAGTTCTTTTATAAATCCTGCGTTTGATGCCAAAACTTCTGACCTCAGTGACCAGTGATGCCCGTAGAGCATCACAGACACCCAGGCTGAGAATCAAATTGCATCTATAGCACAAGACAGTACAGTCTTGCCATTTTTCGAGTTTGGCCAATATTTTCAATTACTGGATCTTAAAGTGATCTAAGAGGATCAAAAACCTATCAAAATGTAAGTAGCGTTGAGTAATAAATAATGGACTGAGTGTATGAGTGTTTCCTATGCCTTTCTTAAACACTACATTGAACTTGGGTTACACTCGCAATCTACATGAAATAGCAGTAATCAGGGAATTACTTAATAAGAACACACTACCCATACATTTATGCACTAGGGTATTTGTTCACTACGAAAGAATAGATAAAGAGTTACAATGACATACTAGAATATGCATATATAACTAAAGTTTTAACCAGAGAATTCACTATGAACTATGAGAATTCACACAATTTCACTTATATGCTTTTGACCCTGAGAACACAAGGCACTGTAGAGAGGGAAAAGTGATAAGAAAATAACCAGTACCTTATGTGACACCCATGTTCCCCCTTCCCCCTAGTGTCCCTCTAACAATATCAAGTCTCACAGTTCAGTGGTTACTATACTCTTTTCACTACCTATACACATAGCTACATGTTTTATTGCTTTACTGTTTGCTCCCTGTCTGTCTGTCTGTCTGTCTGTCTGTCTGTCTGTCTGTCTGTCTGTCTGTCTGTCTGTCTGTCTGTCTAACAACCTCTATGGTAGTGGTAAACTGTAGTCTTGTTTTGTGAATTCTGTTTACAAATACACAGCTCCACAAAGCTTAATACAATGATATTAATAATAATAAAGTTATAAGTATTGTCATTTGATATTATATTATTAACAATACTACTAGCAATATAAACTAAAAAAGAGATTCTAAAAATCATGGAAAAGGTAAAGCAGGAGATAGGCATGCCTGGTAATTAACTCCTCGTGGCATATACGTACATACCATCCCCAGCTGCAATGGATTAATCAAATCATTAAAATCTATGTGGTAATAGGCTCCAGTCTCTTGGATATTGTATTACCAAATTCAATAAATCACAATAACATGCCCAAAGGAAATCAAAGTAATTTTTGGAATAGTTCTGCCAAATGGATCATGATTTTGGTATCATAGGATTCCTCTCAGTCTCTAGTTTCCAAATATATATAAATAATTGCATGGAAATCCCCCCATTTGTGACAACCTAGGCCCTGATAGCAGGGGAGGACCTGCGATCTTTCAAGTGGTGCATGTATTACTAGGCGCTTGTGAAGACAATTATTTTGTAAATTCTAATGTGTGATTTTCCAAATTTTATCCATTCCTTTATTTTTAGTAAACTTTTTTGAAGTGTTCTGAGGAATGTTTTGTTTTCAGTGTTGCGTCTATTACATGTTCTTTTTAAGGGGACCGTCCCTGAGAGAGGGGGGGAAGGGGGTTAAATTGAGTTAGTTAGCGTATAGTATAGGTACATGGATGAGGAAACTACCAAACGAGTATTAAGCACCTGCTATGGCTCGTTGTCTTGCAACCGGCGCACGATCCCTCAGCACCCGGAGAGGTACGTCGCTAATGAGCGCCTAGGTACGCCTATGTGGACTTTTGCTTGCGGCAATCGTGCATAAGGCATTTAATTATGACATTGCGCATAGATATGTTCGTGAATGTTCAAGGAAAACTTTTATACTAATATCAGGAAAAAATCATATCACCATGATTTATGATGAAATATTTTGTGAAATATATCTAAAAAAAAATAATAAGTTTTGTGTCCTTTTAAACACAAAATATGCTTTGATCGAGACTCCCTGGTAATATGTTTTAGTTTACGAGGTAATATATACGTATATCACATATGAAGCACTAATGTTTAAAAATAGCTTTAAAAGGAAGGATTGAAATATTTCCGTTACATTTCGCTCAACGGTCGGTACATCACAGCAGGGGGCAATTTGAATTGATTTGAAATTGGTAGTTACTGTTGTAAAGACCAATTCAATACGAATGTTACCTAAATGTCAGATTTTTAAACTTCGGATGTATAAGCGAGATACAGATTATTTCATGTTGAAGATGATAGTACTCAGTAATACCTGCTCTGAAATAAAAACTATATGGAATTTTGAGCTCGGTTGTATGCGTAGTCTTCGTCTGGCGTTCAAAAAGCTATCGCATCCGTTTCGTGCGTTCCCGATAAAAATGAATATGTTTAGACGTTACCGTAAGTCTTAGGCACCATAAATTGGCAAATATCCCACAACACCTAGGCATCTGCCTGATTTTATGCACTTCTTAGTAAAGATAATAGGTGCAAATGGCTAATCATAAACTATACACTTGTTCTCCTTTGCAATCTGTTAATATTGACAATTATCGAAGAAAATGGTATGAGAGGATAACTATATATTTTATATTTAGATATGAAAGTCAATGTAGGCCTACTAAATTATGATGATTAATCTTTTTAACTTTATGTGCGTGCGTTCATGTACATATGATCCTCCTCGAAAATTATAAACACCCAGTGACCATCTCCCCCCCCCCCCCCCCTGTGTGAGGCATGGGAAATATTCAACGACTTTCGTAAGTTCTCGAATTCATTGTACTAAATTCATATGCTTTTAAAATTCTCAAAATTGAACCACCATGTTGTATTCATGCCAGGACTTTATAATCAGAATGATTTGTACTAATGTTGCTATCCACAGTTCCCCATTTCTTCAAAATAAAAATAAATAATAAAAATAAAATGAAAAAAAAAAATTTAAAAAGGTTTCTATCTGGTTTAGATTAGTTGTCTCTATGGTAAAATGCATTTATTAAGCTTTTCACACGAAAATATCAACTTTTATGAACAACGAAAAAAAAAAAAAATTACATACCTTTACAGAATAGCATCCCTATTGAACATGAAAATTCCTATTGACCTGGTAATCACTGCATTGCAAAATACACTAAATAAACATTTTTTTTATATATATAATATCATTAGAATCAGAGAAAAATAACAGAGATAACGAACTTTGGCAAGGGGCCAAATACAAAACGCCGTAGCTCTGTCATTTTTTTATGAATCTTCGGTACATCCCAACTCACGTAATTTTCAAGCGATCTAAATGCAGTTTGTTGCTTTCACTAGAGCCTCGGCGTCCCAAGGCCATGTAAAAGGACGATTTTTGAATTTTTGCCTTAATCAAAAAATAATAATATTTTAATGCTGAAAAAAAAAATCAAAAATAGTTCTCTATGTCAAGCTGTCCCCCGCCCCAAAAAAAAAAGGAAATTCAAAATTCGGCCTTTTACATAGCTATAGGCTAGAGTTGATCTAACACAAGTATTTTTGGGGGAATATTCTGTAAAGAACTGTGATAGTTGGGACGTACCGAAGACATACCAAAAAAAAAACGATTTTTTTCGACTTTTTTGGGGGTGCCCCCCCAATGGGGGAGCAAAGTTAAAATTTATATATATAATGGAGCGCAATTCTTTACTCTATATCATGCAAAAAGAATCAATCAGTTATCTCTAACCAATAATTTTTTATGATGTAAAGAGTAGGGAAAGGTGGCCATTTTCCGGGACGGTCCCCTTAAAACAATATAGTGGCTATGTAGAAAAAATAGACCATAGTAACTATCGCAGCTTGATATGTGAGCCCATAAAGTGCCCTAAAGTGCTGAAAAAAGTGATAAAAACCTAGCCATCCAGATAATACACATAAGCAAAGGAAAGTTTGGTGTCTCGAGATATAAAAGTGTTTAGTTTATTCTTTAAGGTATGTATGCAGCTCTATCTTGCCATACATACTGAGGGGAAAAGAGTTTCCAAGGGGGTGTTAGGGGCAGAGCCCCCCATCAACCCTCCCCTCGAGTAGTGCCCATCCAGTCACAGTAACTTAGATTGTTAAATAAGGTTTGTGTCAAGGAATTAGGTTGCTTTATTGGTCAGGATGTATTGGGTGGTGTGAATTCTCATAGAATTAACTGAAAGTCAGGTTGGATTCCTATAGATTTTTCAAGTTGGCACGTCAGTCCGTAGACTTTCCAAGAGGGCAGACATGTCAGTTTCAATAGTTGATTTAAAGCGATTTTTCTGCTGGTTCTACACATTTCTGTTACCAATTCTTCTTATTTCTACTTGTTTTGTTTTACCTCATATTTTCCCTGATATACTTAATGCCCTACCCAGCTATTGGGATTTAGCACATCAAGATTGATGGCTGTGATTGCTACCAGAACGATCAGATTCGTTCTCATCACACGAGAATAAATCTAATATAAATATTCTCAGGGAGGTCTCGCTTGTCATAAATGGTAAAATAACCAGTTTTCTTATTCCTTTGTCTACCCCAGGATTATCCTGGGATACTTCAAAATATTCCCAGCTATTGGGGGCAAAAACAATGTCACATTTGGTCAGCACTGATTAACAACAAATTATCAACAGAAAAGGAAGAGAAATCTAATGTCCCAAGAGCCATTACATCACTATACTGGGGCAGATCAGAAATACAATAAAATTCATAATTTGCAATCTGCATATCTCCACGTTGAACCAACCAAAAGAGCCTGAGTAACATATTCCAACCAACTCTGCAGTTTATAAAGCAACGCTAATCACATTAAGGGTAAATCCAGCATTCTTCTCTAAAGAGTCGAAATGTCAACCTGTAATTACTGTCATGTCAAAATGCCACCTGTCTTGAGTAAGCAAATCTCAATAAAAAAAAACCTACACATATATAAACCATGTCTACTTGAATAGCAATTTCGACCCAAATCATTATTACCTTAAATTGAAATGAATCGTCTCACACCGTATATTTGATCTAAGGGACAAGGGAATGTATGTTCTGAGGTAACTCCTTCGTAGTCTCTCCGCCTCCTTCGAGTGTCGAATCTGTCGACTTTGTTTACATTGGGACGCAGGGAAGAGGCTCGCCCTGCGCTCTCTCCAAGGGGTCGCTTTTCGGGGCTTCACTCACCCATCTGCTTACCTAACCTTCATTTGTCTATTCACTTTATTCCCTTATTTTTCTACTTTCTCTATCCATGGCTCATCATTTGGCATTCCTTACAGCATTCAATGATTTTCTTTTATTTTCCAAAGCGAGAAGGCTCACTTCATAATCTCTCCTTACACATCGGCAAATTATCTTTGAATGTTTTGGTTTCTTATTGTTAGTTATCAAAGTGTTGCTTCAAATGAGCACAACGATCGCATTCTTTTGTAATAGCTCGGTTTTCATTTTAAAGTCATTACTGTCATTATTACGTCTGCTTGTCTTTATCCTCATTTGCTTTGAACAATTATTTGTGATACTTTGCAAGATGGCCACATCCTTTCATTTGGGGTCGCACTCTTGTTTCTATCTGGATGTTCATTTATGCTTTTGACGTTGTATAATTCACATAAGGTGATAGTACATGCCTGCGGTTTTGAGACTACTATCTCAAAACCGCATTACTGATACATGATGACTAATGATCGTAAAGGTTTTATGTTCTCTGCAATTAGGTATCAGAGAAACCTAGTTGGTTTTCATTTACACAGTATAGTATCCAATTGGTTTTCCATCTTAGATACAAATGTGACATGGATTTCAATAACTATGTCAGGACACCTTTTATTTAGTGGCAATTAAGAGTAGAAGACATATATAATCCCATAAGATTTGTAAATACACTAAATAAGTATTGTCATTAACACTGCTTGTTTATGATACAATAGTTATATCTAAAATTATTTTAAAAATTCAACTTCGTCGCTCAATCAATAATGCGTTTTCCATAAAAGCGCCTATTTCCTAGCACGACGTGAAGATGTACGATAATATCCAACGATGTGTGTATATGTGTGTGTGTCTGTATATATATATATATATATATATATATATATATATATATATATATATATATATATATATATATATATATATGTGTGTGTGTGTGTGTGTGTGTGTGTGTGTGTGTGTGTGTGTGTGTGTGTGTGTGTGTGTGTGTGTGTGTGTGTGTGTGTGTGTGTGTTGTGTGTGTATATATGTACATACACACACACACACACACACACACACACACACACACACACACACACACACACACACACACACACACACACACACAACGATTCTTAAAGTATATATATTTACATATATATCAAAATGATAATTGTGATAATGATAATGATAACAATAGTGATATCAGTAATGATAATGATAGTGACAATAATGATGATGATGACAATAATAACTATAATGATAACGATAATAATGACAATGATATTGATTATGATAATAATGATACTGATTATACTAATAATAATAATGACTATGCTAATGATAATGATAATAGTAATAATGATAACAATAATTAGCATAATAATGATAATGATGACTAAAATAAAAACACAATAAAATGATAACGATGATTATAATGATAATAATAATGATAATAATAATAATAATAATGATAATAGTAAGAATAACAAAAATGA